GGAATATAAAGATTGACTTGTCAAATTTTCCTGCGATCGTGCATTTGTAATAATTTTGATCGTTGTAAATAATACTATATGTGAATAAATTTTTCTATAGATTAATCTCATTTCGATCGTCTTTTTCTCTCCGCGATAACATTTGATATCGATTTAACGAGCCTTAAGAAAAAAAGGTTCTACCTTTTGCCTTAACGGAATCTTTTTCTTTAACAGAATCGAATATTACGAAGAGCAAGCGACTTTATCAACCGATATTTATCGAAGATATCGCTCAAGATCCCACGTTTCGAGCTCGGTTCGATGCTTTCCTTGGAAGTTAAACTGGATGGATGCACGAGAAAGCGCGTGTTTGACAGCGTTATAATTAGCTTATTAGATGATTACTTACGAGATGAATGCGTTAGGCAACGTACCGTAATATTAGCAATGATACTTGTAATTTTAAATAAAACCCCTATAATTCTCGTATAATCTTTTGCACTTAAGAAATTTCTTTTGGAAATGCTTCCAAGATTATGACGTTGTTCCCGGAATTTCTTTGTCCAATTACAATTATAACATCCGCTAATAATTTCATTTTATCCTCGCAATATAATTGATAGGTATTTACGCAAGAAAAAATATTTACACGAAATGTAAACAATGTATAATAGAAATTTGTATAGGCATTAAAGAAATTGAGTTTAAATAGAGATTTATCTTAATTCTCCAAATATTATAATTAATAAGCGTACTTATCTTGAATACTTTTGTACTTTTCAACATTTCGTGTAAATAAGCACAGATAACATTTAACACGAAATGGATATTTTGTTGAAGAAAATTTCAATTCGTCAAGCAAAAATTAGAAAAATAAGATTTCGATTTTTATTGACTTTTAATTCGCTTTTTTAATTTTTTAAAATTCCGTCTTCGAAGGAATTTCTGAATAAGAGACTCGATTAATATTGATATTAGAGAAGAAAATGAAAAAAAACACGAAAATTGAAATTTCTAATTAAATTGGAAAGTATCGACGAAGAAAGAAGGGCTGTTGACAGCTGTCATCTGGTGTTTAGAACAATAATTAGA